TCGACATTGGGCGGCTGATGGAATTCGGAGGAGGCTAGTCTGTGGGATCTTATTGGTCTAGTGGAGGTAATTGGCAGTAGGCGGTCTCTCAAGTTTGGGGCTAATTATTCAAATTGTTATTTGAATAATTAGCCTAATTATCCAAACATTTTATCTATGCATTATTATTCTTCAGAATTTCTTCAAGGCACAATTTCTTCTGCCTTGAAATTTTGTTCATGTTCAAATTAACTGCTGTGAAACAATAACACCATTCGTTCCAATTGGAAGTGAACTGGTTCACTGGTTAGGACACCAAGTGTCATAAGTTCCACATAATCATACCATAAAGGCTGAAGGGAAGTGGGAAGGAAAGAAAACAGGATGGGGTTTGTTTGTTTTTTACATTTTTTTTCAAAATTATTTGCTTTGGCACTTGTTTTCTTAATTGGATATTCTTCACACATGTTGTCATGACTAAAACATGGCAAAAGGATGACAAGCATGATTCACCTCTTGCACTGCTGAGCGGTTTAAGGTATAAGGCTAGCTCTTCCACACATTTCCTGGCTTCCTCATAATGTTTAGTATCTTCAGCACCACTGCGTAGATTTATTGGTTGCTGTTCTGGCATCTGTAGAAAACATAAGAATATAACAAATACGTTAAGAAATGGCTAGTTCTATGTTTTTTATTTCTCCCATCTTTGTCTACAAAACTTCTGCACAGTTCCACACTTTTCATTAATTGTCTACTCCTGTCTTGAAGAAGACAAAGCAGTTATTGTTACAAAAAGAAAAAAAAGTATGTGATTCCATACTATTTTATACACAAATATATTCAAGATAGAACACCTTGTTTTCAAAACTACAAAACAAGCCTGCATCCCCAACAGTAATTGGTTAATGGTGTACAATTTAAGCAAGCTTTTTTCATATAGGTTTCACACTATCCATAGTTTAACGTAGTAAAACTATTAATTGATTGCCTAGGCACCCTACAATAAAACTTGGGGACTTTAAGAAACTCTTTCCTTAGCCAATGATGATTTATATACTTGAAAATGTTATGGTTTGTTACATTTGTTCATTTCATTATTTACTTTTTCTGAGATTTATTTAAAAATACAGTTGCTTATTTGATGAAAAAAGATGTCAACTAGTTAAAAAAGAAAGAAATCTAAAGCAGGAGACTAAGGAAGCATTCCCTTACTTGAGCACCCACAAGCTGCAGCAAAGCTGAATTCACAGGAAGATGTTCTATGTCTGTATTGATAGTGGTCTGGTCGAAAGGACATGCTTTCCGATGGAGCTTGTTCAGGCACATCTTGCAGACTGTGTGGCCACAACCTAGACTGATGGGTTTCCGGATCGTTTCGTCGAATGTTTGTGTGCAAATAGGGCAGGAGAGAAAATCCGTCCATTGTGGAGCTTGTACAGGCATTGCTTCAAGAGTTACTTCACAAGACAAAATCTAAAGCAGATTCCACTGGAATCAAATTTATTTTGAAAAAAAACCTGTTTTTAAATAGTTTCTGTAAGTACAGACAGTCAGCACATAGTGTGAAATATAACCTAAAAAGTAAACACAAAATAAAATAAAATTAGCTGATGGAGATTTTATGAGAAATATTACTGAAAAACAATTCATCTATTTCATACGTAAGACAGAATAAACGGTATACATGATACAGTGACTTCCATTGCTTTCTCATGATTAATCAAAAAAACCTCTGTGCTGAACAAACTATTACGAGTACTTTATATTGCTCAATCTTTTTACAAGAAAACTATCCTATTAGCTTTTTTAAAAGAAAAGTTATAAAGTTGCCACCCTGACCCTTATTAAACCACACTAAAGTGTATGCAAACTACATGTTATGTCAGATAATGATTTATTTTTTAATAAAATTTTTGTTTGAGGAAAAATATTCATGATCAGTCCTTGAAGTTATAGCTGCTGTGGTTTCCCTTTGGTCACATTATCAACATTTGGGTGTTTGACAGCCCACCCTCATTTATGGCCACAGAGGTCCCTTCAATTCCTCACACCCTCTTCTCTCCCCCCCACTCATCTCTGCCCTGTCTCCCTGTACTCTGCAACCTCCAACTGACTTTGGCTGACTTCTTCCTCCCAGTGCTGACTAGACGTGCCTGGCCTGGTCCTTTGCAAAGCAGCTGATAGCTGTGCAAGGCCTTCTTCCTGATATCGCATGTGGCTAGTAACTGCTTCCCAAATGAGTTGTTGGTCCCAAACAAGAATGACCCGTAATATAATGTATGCAAGTTGCAGAATTCACATTTTTCAGTGTACAATTTAGTAATAAAATTTCATTTTTAAAGTGCATCAACAATACGCAGAAAGTGGTACTTTCATTCTAATAAACAATGCAATTATGTTGGAACTAAATAATACTTAAAATGAATTTCTTAGTCATTAATTAATAAACGACATTGTCACCCTTTTTATATTTCAAAAACAGTCTTTGAAAATTACATTTATGTATTCTTCATTTAATGCTTTAGGTTCTTTAAATTTCTCAATCTTATCTCATGTAACCTCAGATTTTTTGACCATCTTCGTCTACATATATTCACTCTTTTTTCATATATTTATTTTGTGTACTATATGATCAAACCATGTCAATATACCGTACTTCTTTCATGCTGTCACTCATTTTTGTTTTCCGTCTGTATTCATTTAGTCCACATTCATTCTTGGTCCTATAACTTATTTTACTACACAAACCCACCCTGCTGCACTCAATTCCCCCCCCCCTCCCAATACAGGTAGTCCTATTGGGACCAGAAATTCCTTGCCTAAGTGATGCAGTCGTAAAGCACACAATGTCATCTGACTGCATTATTTTGTGACAGTAATTGCAGTAATTCCAGTTGCTTGTCATAACTCCACATGCAAGGAGCTTTAAGTAGAGAGTCCTAGGTTAGAAGCATCAAATCGCATTTTTATTAGACGTATTCCATAATTTTTTAACCGATGTAATTGTTTCCAGAGATAGTAGTTTTAGCATGTATTGATCTTAATACTATCCAACCAGCCAAAAGTGATATATGTGTATATTGCAAAGTTGCACAAATTGGAAAATTAACAACAATTGCTGGCTTCCAGTATGTAATAACTGACAATAGGTAAATGTAATGATGTAGTTCTAGATCTGGAAAAACAAATCTTTCTGCATTATGTTGGTTTCATTTTTGGTAAAAATATTTTTAGAATCAAAGAATTCCATAGAAATTTTCTAAATGAAGAATTTACTTTCTGAAAATGTTTTCCAGATCCAGTATATAAACTAGAATTCATCTCAGAATGTAAATTAATGTGGGAATAATATTCATTTTGAAGGGGTTACCTTTCCCCAAATGTTTAATGACTCCCATCTATCTATGTCTGAAGAAACTGCTCTATTTTATTTATATTACAGTATATTATTGAGAAATATTCATTGATATATACATACCTAAATATTTAATTGATTTGATTCAAAACAAAATTAATATTAATGGATGGGTAATCGATTTTCACCTATTGGCATCAATTCTGATTTGGATTAGAATATCCTACTATTTTGCTAATAGCATCTATCTTCTGCATCAACACCATGTGAAGTTTAGAAATAAACAAAAGAATAACATTAAACAAAACCAATCTGTTCAACTGAGTTATGTACTTCTCCTAAGACCTCTCTATGTTGTCTAATAACACAGCCCAAAGCGTCCACTCAGATATTAAAAAGCAAGAGTGAAAGTGGATATTCTTGTCTTGTTCTTCTAACTAGTAAAAAGTAGATAAACCACTCCACACAACATATCACATAACACTGCTAAACATATGTCTATCACATTCAGAATATGACATCATCTTATCCTGTATACTTTTCTCTATGTACATAGAAATGGAAACTATCTACAAATCCATTCATTTATCTCAAAACATTGAAACCCTTTTTGTACATAAATGCTCAGTTATCATTCTCATTCTTCAAAAAGACCAATCACATTTTTGGATCTTGTAATGTTTTATATAACTGTCATGTTGCTAACATTTTCTCCCTAAATCACAATCATAGAGAATGTTTGTCCAGCAAAACTCATACAGTATGTGGTTCTTTCATTATCATATATATAAATAATTGGGTTAATGACTACCACATAGTCATATAGCATAAGAGCTGTGTTGGTGCATGGTTAGAGTGCAGTACTGCAGGCTACTTCTGCTGCCTGCCTGCAATTTGGCAGTTCAAAAGTGCGTAAAATGAGGACAGCATATTGGGGGCAAAATACTGACTCTGCAAACTGCTTAGAGAGGGCTGTAAAGCACTGTAAAGAGGTATATAAGTCTAAATGCTATTGCTATATGTGGTGCCAGCTTTGATGATAAAATATGTTTCTTTTTTTGCAGAGTTCTGTGCATAATGCATACAATTAGAAGGAAAAAGATTTTTTTTCCGTTTCAGGTTGATTAGTAGAACAAACCAAGTAGAAGGGGAAGACAATTAAGAGGAAAATCTTACAAATTACTAAAGAAAATGTACTTTGGAAAAGTACTCCAAATTTGTTTGCTATATCTATTATTTCCTTTGTTAATTTGTCATAAAAAATTGAAACAATAGAAAAAGTAATTCAATCTATTTATCATAATATTTATATCTTAAGATCCTATGCAAATACACTATGCTATTCCCAAATGTACAAATCATGCAGCAATATAATCACATTCTGGCTTCTTAATGGGTTATTGTGACTGCTTATCAATGTGTCATGGCCAACCTATTTCCATCTGGCAATACAGATGTATGAACTATGAGCTAATTCTTCAGGAAAATACAGCCCCGTCCATATCAAAATCTATACTTTATGTTTCACAAGATTCTGAAGATTGAGCTTTTTCAGAGAGCCTTCCCTGAATTTGAGCTTTTGCTGCCATCTTTTATTTTCTATTTTGGTAACGTTGCATTTACAATTTTTATATAAGTTTGTTTTATATTGTATTTTTATGTGAGCTGCCAAGAGTAATTTTTGTGGTGGTTGAATAAATACAACTTCTGATCAAGAGAACTTAAGTCTCATTTCATCATTCCTCATCTGGACTCCAGTTACTGAATGACAGCATCAATAGTTCCCTCAGAGTAGACAAATGGTATGAATGAATGTTATGAATCACCTCCTCTGTTAATTGAATGTACAAGTTAAAGAATAAGAACAAGTTCAACATCTGCGGAGCAAACATCAAGTCCTCAACATTTAAGGCTTGTTAAGAACCTTTTCCATTTTTTTCACAATCTCTGCTTTGTTTCTCCAGCCCACTGCACGATTTGCGGAAGGGAATTTCTGTCCTGGGCTAGAATAATAAAATTGGGACCCCAAAGATTTGAGCTTCATTTTTGCAGCCTGAAGAAGGATTTCCGCTTCCACCTGCCCCACACATGGGAAGGGAAATCCTTCAGCAGGCTGTAGCAGCTTGCAAGCTTCCTGGCTGACTTTCTTGGGCAGCAGGCAGAGAATGACAGTTGGTCTTACCTGAACTGTGATTTTAGGAGTTTGCAGGGATGGTCCAGTAATGAGTTATTGTCATATCCAATTGGCCTCGAGACTGAGTTAAAGTTGAAGCCATGCCACTGTGCTCCTTCTTTCTGGCTCCAGTTTCAACGATGCATACACTCCAGGGGCACCTGAAAACAAGTCAGAAGGGAGACTCCTCCACGCCCCTATCCCTGCCTACAGACCATTATCGGGAGGGACCTGGACCATCCTGCAAAACTCCTAAAATCACAGTTCAGGTAAGACCAATTGTCATTTTCCGGAGTAGTTTGCAGGATGGTCCATCCGGTACCGGTAACCCTTTTGCTTCATACGCCAGAGCGATCGGCAGCCTGATCCAACGACTAATGGTAGAAGATGTGACTCTCTTTCCTAGTGTGGACGATTGAAAAGAGATAAATAACGCTTCTGACCTCCTGAACTCCGCCGTGTGCTTCAGATAAATGTGTAAGGCACGTTTGACATCCAAGCGATGCCACCTATGTTCTCTATCTCTGACAGGATCAGGGCAAAAATCTGGAAGGACAACCTCCTGCGTGCGGTGGAACAGAGAATTTACCTTAGGCAAGAACACCGGGTCCAGACGAAACATGACCCTGTTATGAAGAATGCACAGATCCTCCCTGGAGGACAATGCCTCCACTTTGGAAACGTGCCTTGCCAATGTGACTGCCACCAAGAACACAACCTTCAAGGTAAATGTAAGTAGTTTCAGACTAACTGTTCTCAATGGTTCTGCCATCAGGGACTGAGGTACTGTGGGAAGGTTTCAAGTAGGAAACCTGTGAATAACTGGCGGCCGCAGGTTCGCGGCCCCCTTGAGGAACCTCTTAACTACCGGAAGCTGGGATAAGCTAGTGAACCTTTACCTGCAATCATCGTGGAGAGAGCCACTATCTGTCTCTTCACTGTGCCATGAGATAGACCCTTGTCCAAGCCATCTTGAAGGAAGTCCAAGACTTGTGGCACAGCTGCCCTTCCAGGTTTTATATGGGAAGACCAACACCAAGCCATGAAGGTGGCCCATGTGGAATTGTACATTCTGGTCATCAACTACTGTCTCGAAGCCTCAATAGTCATGATCACCCGTTGAGAAAGATGAGCGTCCCTTAGACGCTCCCGCTCAATCTCCACACGGTCAACTGAAGCCATTGTGGCTCTGGATGGATCAGTGCCCCCTGTCATAACTCTACCTCCCCCCCTCGGGATCCTCCACAGTTGACCTACTGATAGGCACATTAAGTCCGCAAACCAACCCACTCCTGGGCCAGTGCAGTGCCCCCAGAATGACCTCTGCCTGTTCCTTGACTATCTTCTGAATGACCCTGGGAATGGAGAGGAGTGCTATGGGAACACAATGATCCCTGTGAATCTGCTTAACTAACTTCACCAAACTGGACCTACAATCAGGGGGGAAAAAATCATGCCCCTACGGGAGTCTATCACTGCCCCTAAATGGAGGATCCGAGTGGTCGAAAGCAAACTACTCTTATCGAAGTTTACTGAAAACCCCAACTCCTGCATGTCTGCCCACCAACCGGATGTCTGCCCATGTCTGTTGTGACAACAACGCCTGAACGAGAATGTCGTCAGGTAGCATTGGATTCTAATCAGGACCTCCCTCAAGTAAGCGGCCACCACCTCCAGTACCTTGGTGAAGGTCCTGGGAGCTGAGGCTAATCCAAACAGCAGGGCCCTATATTGGTAGTGCACTCCCAGGCAAGAGAACCTGAGGAACCTCCGGCGCTCCAGAAGGATGGGAATGTGGAGATACGCTTCCTTGAGATCAATGGAAGCCATGTAATCCCCCTCACGGACACCCGCCAAGATGGACTTGAGCAAAGCCATCTTGAATCTCCTATAAACTAGGAATTGATTTAGAAGTTTAAAGTCCAAATGCACTCTTGGATCTGCTTCAGCCAAAGGAGAGCCGTGTGGTTGAAGAAAGATGCCGCAGCTGCCACTTTCATGGCCCAGGCTGCCGATTAGAAAGTCTTCTTGAGGGTCATCTCTGCCTTCTTATCATCAGCTTTCAGATTATCTGCCAC